GGGCATTTATGGAGCAAAAAATAATCACGAAAATTATGAAGGTGACGCGTAGACTTTTGGATAAGAAGGATAAAATTACTCTCGAGGCACACCGGGATTTCCACGCCCATGCAATGGACAATAACGGCTCAATCAAGGAAGAGTCAGAGGTGATGAATATGGTATTTATTCAAATCCCTCTCGTCACTCCTCATCAATGTATTAAAAGCGTGAGGCGTGAGGCAAAGCCTCACTAGATTAAAAATTTGTTTTATATATTATACATATAATTGTATAAAAAATAATACTATGTAAAATAAACATCCATTCTTAATTTTTCATTCAAATCCATAGTCATCCAAAAGATTATATCTTCTAAATTCATCATTCAAAGGTAATATCATCCAAATTCATTATTCAAAAGGTAATACAAACAAAGAAAACAATCATTCATCCAAATCCTCTTCATATAAATCAAAATACGAACAAAGATATCATTCATTCATCTAAATCCTCTTCATCTAAATAAAAAGGCAACATCATCTTCTTCATTGCCAACTTTAAATGAACTTGTAGGGTATGTCATCAATTCATCAAAAGAATCTTCCGAATCACACTCCACATTTCTTCGACTTGAGGATTCTTCATTACCCTGTTTTCTTTTGTATGTAATAGGACCCCGAGGTTAAGTAGGCTCGCGAGAAGGAGGATGAGGAGTAGGCTCACGAGGAGGAGGAGGAGGAGGAGGAGAAGACTTTTTAGGCTCTTGAATGTATGGGCCACCTTCATAAACCAAGGGTGGCTCATTCTTTATGGCCTTAACATTATACAATAACTCATCCTCAAGCCATGTAGGATCTTCGGGAAGAACGGGATCTTTTATCTTCGTTATCCATTCATCATTGGAGGCAATTTCTTCCACAACAATAGGATCATACTTCTCACTCCTTTTCTTACTTCTCTGTTGTAAAGCCAAATTGTACTTGACATAGGCTAAAGCATTAAGCCTTTTGTGTTCTAGTCTATTCTTTCTTTTTGTATGAATCTACAAATAAATCAATTCTATTATTCAAGTCTAATCATCTTAAGCAAAAATGACACTTAAGATACTAATAATATATTTACTTACCATTGAAAATGTGTTCCAATTCCTCTCACATCCCGATGCATAACAAGTAAGGCTTAGAACTCGGATGACAAACTTTGTTAACTCGGGTGTTTTATGCCCAACACGCTCCCACCAAGCTGCTAAAAAATACAATATTAGTAAGGTAAGTAATTTAAGGGTTAAAGATAAAAAGATATTAACAATTGACTAATTAAATTTTACTCGGTGTTCGCTTTTTCCTAGTTTGCATAGCCATAGAATCCGCAAATGGACCACGCATATCATTATATAAATCCAACTGAACATCGGCCTCTTCATGTTCTTTCCCTTTCCCAAGCATCCTATCCATGCAAGCAAACAACCTATTTCGCACTTCATCGGTATATGAGAAATTATCCTCATACTGAAATTGTGGGTTTAAGTAATAACCCGCCACATGTAGTGGTTAATGAAGTTGATAGTCCCATCTACGATCTATCTTTCTTCAAATAGGCATATAATTTTTCTCCACTTTGTTAAGATTGCTTGCAATTTTCTCTTTTGCGGTATCCATCAACTCATATATAAAACTCATGGGGGGTCTCTCCTCCAAATCAACCTCTCTCGAAACACAAACAAGAGGAAAAACACCCTTAATACAAAAGGAAGCTCGACCCCAAAACTCACGATCATGTAACACATGATGCTTCTTAGCCTACTTTGCTTCACGGGATTTTGCATAGGTACTTTCCAACTATTCTTGAAAGGTAAACAAAGCAACAAGATTTTCCTTTTGCTTTTATAAGCTTTGTAGTGTAAGGAAAAAAGTGGAAAACCTAGTGACCGCCGGACGAAGAATTTCCGAATTATTGATGTACTTTCTCATCAAAGCTAGTACCCATTGATGCCCATATAGATACTTTGAAATACACATAGCATGTTTGAGTGTGTCATCAAAGCATGCCATCTTAGAAATATCTTCTAGCATCAGATCAATGCAATGAGCCACACATGGAGTCCACCACACCTTCTCTTTCCTCTCCATAAGTTTTGCCCCAACATTCTTGTAGTTCGAAGCATTGTCAGATATAACTTGAACCACATTCTCCTCCCCAATTTCTTGAATAGTATCATGCAAAGAGCCGTACAACAAATCTCCATTCTTAATAGAGGCCGATGCATCAACCGATTTCAAGAACCAAGTACCTTGCGGGCTATTAACAAGTTGATTAAACACCTACTTTTGCCATCCGACCATCCATCCGACATAATAGTGCATCCATATCTCTTCCAAGCCTTTTGATGTTCTTTCATCATACTTTGTACATCCTCAACTTCTTCTTTGAGCATCCAAGTTCTATATTCATGGCTTGTAGGAGCATCAAAGTCGGGACCAAAATTGGATACCAATGTCATTGCATTAACATAATATTCATTGTTTGCCGTATTGAATGGAATGGCACTAGTGTAGAACCATCGCGCAAGTACTCGGGATGCTTGTCTTCTTTCTTCTTTTTTGAAAGATATATTCAATGTGGTTTGACGAGCTTCCGATGTAACATACCTATCAAGTGGTCCCCTTGACCTAGGTGGTAGAAAAGAACCGGTTAGTTGTGAATGTGTGGCACTCACACTCCCACTCCCACTACTTACATATGGTGTCCTTGTTGTGCCTATATCGATAGTTTCACTTTCTTCTCCACCACCACATCACAACTCATGGCTAGCTTTCCTCTTTTCTTTAGTTCCCATAACATTAGCAAAGCATTCTTCCTTCACATTGGGTGGGACTTTTTTTGCAATTTATCATTCCTCCTGAACTTACACCACCTAAGTGAAGTTTGAATCTAGAAATTGAACCCGTGTATTTGCGGTTACAAAAAACACAATAGAAGTGCTTGGTGACAGGATCCAAATCTTTTGTCCATTGCCAAGCAAAATCTTTCTTAGAAGAAGAAGCCATATTCTTCAATGCCTAAACAATAAACATTTGATGCATACAGTTCATGAACCAACAATCTATTAATTTATGCAACAATTAATATGATGACCATACTCAATTTATGCATACAGTTAATGAAATATATCAAGAACAGTAATAACCTGGGAAAGATCAAGACTCCCGCGGTGCGGGGTGGGGGGGGGGGGGAAGCTAAGAGTTTCAAGTTGTCAAACAATATAATGCATTGTTTTGTTTTTGATAAAAACTTTGTTATTAAAATTAAGCACACAAAAGGTTTGCAAATAAAGAAAAAAAACAAAGTAATAGTTTAATGGGCAAATTGTTCATAGAAAACAACCTTGGTTCCACAATACCTCACTGCATGCTATTACAAGTTTTCTTAACACAATACCGACCATTAATCACATCAAAGTTTATCACAAGTTTTACAAGTTATACGACTCTGCCTAACAATAAAACCCAGCCCTAACTATCATTCTCTCATCCCCTTAAGCCTTTAGCCTCCTCCCCTTATACCTCCACTCCTCTCTGTTTTTCTGCTTTCCAACTCCAAGGCTTTCACACCAGTTTAAAAAAAAAAATCAAAAAATCAAAAAAATCAAAAAATAAAAAAATCAAATCCCTAACTTTTTTAGAATTTCAGAAACCCTAACCTTTAAAATAAAGGACTTATGGGCTTGCTAAAGGGGGTTGGGGTGACGGCGGTGTGGCGATTGGGAGAGGACGATTGAAGGTAGTGGTGGAATCTGTATTAAAAGTTTAAAACTAAAAACCCTTACCCAATCGTGCCTGAGACGCCTTGAAGGGCATACAAGGTGCCTGAGACGCCCTGAGACGCCTTGAGACGCACCTTCGCCGCCTAGGCATCTCCGATGAAGCTTTCGCCCACTCTAGCAAAACAGAGGCGTTAGCCTTAATGCCCAGCCTTAAATGCGCCCTTGGCGCGCCCCGAGGCTAGTTTTTTAAAACATTGCTCCTCATCAATCCCTTATTGATTTTATTCAAAAGGTAACTCCCAAAACTTTCTATTTAATTTATGAATAATTGTCATGTTAATTGTAAGATATTATTTCGCATAATGTCTTGCAATTATTCTCCAAATACCACCATATATAGCCGGTCATTCTCCACCCTAAGGGCCGGCCACCCTCCTATAAATATTCCTCTTATTCTACTAAAATGTGGAGGCCATTCTCTGCCAAGGATTCCAAAACATTTTCTCTCTCAAATTTTAACTTTGACATCGCAGATTCTTCGGCCAAATCCCTCCTATTCATCGTGGACGCATGAGGATTTTAACCTTAATCTCAGGTGTTATTATTTTGAATGTATACTTTCGTTAAAGAAGAAGATGACGAAAATTTGCATCCATAAATAGAATACTAATTATAGTTTGGTTATAATAATCCGTACCACTATAAATTCTATGCAAGATTTAAACGTGAAAATAATTTACTAGATTCCTATATAAAATATCTAAATGTTAAATTTACAAACTACTTAAGAATATGCATCTTAGAAGAAAAATTACAAATTAAGGTGGAAAATTAGTAGTAAATCATTCACTTGACTTTCAAACTTATAAGTAAAAGATTTTAAATTCAATTCTCATTAGGTAAAATAAATTTAAACTACATTAAGATAGATAATAATTGTTTTAAAAAAAAATATATATATATATATATATAGAGAGAGAGAGAGAGAGAGAGAGAGAGAGAGTGGAGAGATAGGTCGTGTAGGTGCTGTAGTGTACTCTCCACTATTAATTCGTCTGTGTCGCTATTATTATCTTTACTGAGACGCGACTGTTCTCCCTCACATGACTGTCCTGCACTGCCCTGCTCTGCCCTGCAGGCTCCGTATTCATTACAAACAAATTAACCTTACCCCCTCCTCTCTCTCTCTCTCTCTCTCACTTTTACGGTTTCACCCCTCTCTCTCTCTACCCATCACTTACATTTTCAGTAGTGGTACTACCCTCTTTGCAAACCCTCTACGCAAACCCTTACCTTTTCCCTCTCCTTTTCTCTCTCTTTTTACTCAGTATACCCACTCCTTCTGCCTTATACTGGCTCTCCCAACCATGGAAGCTTTCAGCTTGCTCAAGTACTGGCGAGGCGGTGGTGCTGTATATGGCACCCCTCTTCCTAATTGCCCCGACACTCCTGATTCTGCTAAAATGCGCACCCCCACCACCACTTCACCCACCACCACAATCCTCACCGCCGTCGCCCAAAATGACGACGAAGACACCGACGACGATGACGGCCCTTTCTTCGACTTGGAGTTTGCCGTCCCTGACGAAGACGAAGCGGCCGCTGCCCAAACCTACCAGCCCTGTGGAAACGGAGATTGTACGGACGACAGCGACGAGGAGGCCCGACTAGAAGATGACGATGGCGATGACGAGTCTGACGATTGTGAAGATGGAGAGGGGGAGTTCAACTTCACTGTCTCTTCTGGGTCGAGCCAGGACCGTACGGACGACCCGAATCTGACTCTCTCTCCCTCCGACGACTTGTTCTTCAAAGGGAAGCTTGTGCCCATCGAGCCGTCGTCGATTGAGTTCAACCCATCTGAAGAATCCAACTCCAAGCCCCAATTCGCCGGCTCATTGTTGAAATCGGCCACCAAGTTTCGTGTTTTCATGCTGGGTTTGAAGAAATCGAAGTCGAATTCAAACGCGTCGGAAAAACCAGAGAAAACGGAGCCGCCGGCTGTGGAATCTGTTGCGGCGGTAGCGAAAGAAGCGCCTCAAAAAACCCAGGAAAAACCACTGGAAGAGGAACCGCCGCAAAAGCAGAAACAGCAGGGGAAGCTTTTCACGGTGAAATTCAAGGTGGAGGAGGTCCCCATTGTGTCTTTGTTTACAAGAGACAATAGCTCGAGAATATCAACAGCTAAAAAGTCGCAGACGACCCAGGAGAAGCCGCCGCCGGTAAGCGCTTCTGAAGAATCGGCTTCTGAGGAAAAGCGCTTTTCCAAAGAGGTAATGCAAAAGTACTTGAAAATGGTTAAGCCGCTCTATGTTCGCGTTTCAAAGAGGTACGGCGAGAAGCTTAGACTGTCCGGGCAGCTCAGCTTGAACGGCTCGACAGCGGCGGCTTCAAATCCGGCGGCTGTGGCTGAGAAGACCCAACCGGAAGCAGAAGTGTCGGAGCCCCCTCCGGCGACAGCGAGCAATGCGAAGAGTGGTCAGAAACAGGGGAATATCCCGGCTGGACTGAGAGTGGTCTGCAAGCACTTGGGGAAGAGCCGGTCGGCTTCTTCCGCCGTAGCGGCGGCTCCATCAGGCGCCGTGGTCGCGCAGAGGAGGGATGATTCGCTGCTTCAGCAGCAGGACGGAATCCAAAGCGCCATCCTGCATTGCAAGCGTTCCTTCAATGCCTCCCGAGGTACGTAATATTAATTTCCAATTATTTTGTTTATCATTTTTTTTTTAAAAATAATTTTGTCCAATTTAATTTTAATTTTTTGTCTTTATTTATTTCGGGTAAGATTCGGACACTAACCTGCTGTCTCGGTCAGTGAGCGATCCCTCGAACGAAAAAAAGGTCAGTTGAGATGTCACGCAAGTCGTCGGATCAAGGCAAAGGAGGTGTGCTTTAACGGCCGAGATCTTTTTCCGCATGCTTTTTTGGCGGGAAATGGGGGGAGTGGTCAAGTCAATGTTGCTGTTTGTTAATGATGCTCAAATCAAAGAAGGCCTAAAGGGACAGTGGCCAGGTTTTCTTGTTAATTATTGTAAATTGCTTTTAGAAAAAGCCAGAAAGATGGAGTAGGAGGAGATGTCTGTAGAAACTAGTAGTTTTGTTCTTGCAAGTTCTATGAGCTTTAGCTTAATTTTGTGTTAGTGATAATTAATCACAAAACCCAAGTCATTCTGTTAATATTGTAGCCTAATCTTTTAGTGATATGCATTATAATATTGTAGCCTAATCTTTTACCGCTTGTGATTTTTATGGGTATTGATAAACAGTTTTGAGTAATGTTACACTTACCACATGTGTAGATCGTTATTTGTACTTTGTTCTTCACTTATATAATAACATATAATGTAGGGTAAAGGATAAAAAACTATCTCAACTATTGAGTTCACGATAATTTCATACTTCATCTTTTAAAATTGATAATGTTATATCGTATCTTACAAATTTATGATAATATCATATTTTTTATCAATTTTTCTGTTAAGTACTGACGTGACGTTGCAAGAAAAAAAAAAACCTTAATCCTACCTTCCCTCCCCCTCTTTGAAAACCCAACCCCCCCCCCCTCCCCCCACAGGAGAAGAAGGAAGAACCAAAAAAGGAGGAAGAAGAGGAGGAAAAATAACAAAAAAACAAAAATTTGAAAACCCAACCCCATCCGCCCACCCCCCCAGGAGGAGGAAGAACCGAAGAAGAGGAGGAGAAAATTAAAAAAACCCAGATGAAGGAGGAAGAAGGAGAAGAGGAGAAGAAGGAGAGGGGAAAGGGGATGCCGCACTCTAGGATTGTCTTGTTTTTTTATTCTTAATTTTTTTAATATTTAATTATTAAAAATATATTTAATAATGTCGTAAGATGTGGTATGACATTACTAATTTTAAAAATGAGGTATGAAACTGTCGTGATCTCAATAATTAAGATAATTTTTTATACTTTTCCCAACAATGTAATGTTCGGCATTCGTCAGATGGGTGGAGGAGTAGGAATCTCTCTAGTCTCTAGTAGGGCAAAAACTCAAAAACATAGAATAGAAAACAATATTTGGCACTAGTCTCTCTCTCCAATTAAGCACTTAATCTAGACGTCTTTGTTTGCCATGGGATTGCTTTTTGGTCCAAATGGTGTACGGGAATTCGTGAAGGTTGTGGTGACGTTGAGGCAGCCAATAAATCAGTGAATTCCTGATGGGAAATAAGTTGGGGAGATTGAATTTGTCTGCTTTTGGCAGAGGTCGGACCCACAAAAGTGCTGCCTACATTATTTAATCTGCTTCTACCTCGTGCCTTTACGGCAAAGACTTTTTGTCGTTTTTGGCTAAATATCATATTCTTTGGTGACACCTTTTCTTTTATGAATTTCCTTTTGGGCCTATGCCTTTGTTTCAGTTTGGGCCCTATCCTACACCCAAGTCAGATACTCTCTGCTTTTTAACTTTATTGAAAATGCCTTAAAATAAAAATTAATTGAAAAACTTACACTCACAATACACTCTCCACATAATCAAGTCGGTAGTAGCCAATTTTTGTTTTTACTACAACGATATATTATACACTAAGTTGATGTAAAGTTCAGCGAAGTCACATAATAAGCAATCTAATTTGATTACAAATTCATTATTTACGAGATTCGAACCTAAGACCCCTCATTGACAAGTGAAGAGGAACACCTAGACCATAATAATGAGTGGTACTTAATTTCCCAAAGAATTGGCTCAACAAAGATTAAATCATTGACACTATTAGACCATCTTCAATCCTTAGGTTAAAACCTAGAATTTTGAACTTAGAAAATTTAGGTTTTAACTTATGAACAATTATTTTGCTCCAACCCTTTTGGTTAAATTTTTAGCACGAGATTATTAAATAATGAATTTAGGATAATTTTTTTTCTTAAAGTAACTTTCTAAAAAAAAAAAAAAAAAGTTATGTAGAATATTCTAATTTATTTTTATGAACATTTTAACCTAAAAATACTTAGATTCCGATAAATATTGAAAAAAATCAGTAAACTAAAGTCATGAAACTCGTGGCACATTATGAAAGAATATGAAACATATAAAAATGTTTTTTAATTATTTTAATCGTTGGATTTAAATTTGGACCGTTAAATTTTTATTTTTTTTTACGGTTGGTTTTTATCATATTAGATCTTAACCGTTGGATTCATTGAATTTATAAATATAAAACTTTAAAAAATACACATATATGGTGGGTCAGCCATTAACCAGGGGGAATTTTGGGCTAAATTTGTCCCAAAGATGAGTTTTGGGTTACAACTCCTATTTCACCTAAGGGTTGGAGCAAGTTGGGGTAGATTTAGAACCGTTGGGCACTAGATCCCTTCGGACCTGGAGAATGTGTGACGTTGGAAAAAAAATGGTGTACTTTTGACACCCAATAAATTTTTGATCTTTTGAGTACTGTTTCTGTCCTAGTAGCGCATTATATGATTTTATTTGTTTAAGTTCCAAAAAGTGTTAAGGGGGCACTGGTGAATCCCACCAACAGGGGTATTGCAAAGGAAGGTATCTTTCGCCTACGAGGAAACAAATATCTTCTCCAAAAAGAGAAGGGGGGAGGGTCTTGACGTTAGAACTTTTCAAGATAGATCTAAAGCTTTCAAGAAGAAGATGGGCTACATGCTCTTAAAATTTGAGTTTTACTTACTCTAAAAGTTAGAGTAGGTCTTAGTCCCAACCGATTCGTTTTCAAAGTTTTGGAAAGAAAGAATGAAATCTCTCATTGAAAAGTCATTGGCCTCTTTCAAGCAACATCCTTGTTCGATGACTTAATTAATGATCATCTCCTCTCATATCCTCCAACAGGGAAATGACTTTTGATTTGTGAAGATAAAACCCAAAAGCAACCAAATAGAAAGCTAGGCTTCATAATTGCATAATTGCATGATTACATGTGTGAGGTTGGTGCTTGTTTGATCGAATTACTTGGTAGAAAGAGAATCAATGAGCTCAACTTGCAAGTCTCCATAAGAATGTACATCACATTCTTATGGAGACTTGCAAGTTGAGTTCATTGATTTGAATACGTGCAACATCGAGTGGAGCACCAATAGCATGACTAGTTCGCACATATTCATATCCATGAAACCACATTTCTACTCTCTCTCCATTGTAACTCTACTGTAATAGTAATATTGTTCAGCCCCGGTATTCGCCATAAGACTTATGGGTAGGCCAGGAATTTACTTGAACATAAGATTAGACATTGCGAGCATGCCACTACTAACTACCGTTAGTAGACGGAATTTGAGTGATGGAGAAAACGAGAAAAAGAACCCATTCTGGCAACTGCCCAGATTTTATTATTATTGTTTTTTTTTTTTTTTTTGTATTTTCTGAATTTTTTTATATTTTTTTTTATCATTGCCCATTTGGGCAAAAGTAGTGAAGGTGCAGTCGGGCAAAATAAATAAAAGCCCATCCGGGTAACGAAAGAATATAAGTCCATTCGGGCAAAAGGGAAAAGAGCCCATTCGGGCAAAATAAAAAGGCTAATTGGGGAAACTGTGCAGACATTATTTTTGTTCGTTCTTTAATTTTTTGACCGAAAGCAAGTAAATCTTTAGGAAAATTAATAAAAAGGACTTATAAATTTTGATTTTTAATAATAAAGACAAAATAAAGGGTAAGCGAACCAGAATTGACTTTTTAGTGTAAAAATATGATTTTTCGTTAAGGTGAACAGTACTAGAAGCTTTTCGTTAAAATTCCCTAAATCTTTTGACATCAAAACCCACTTCTCGGGTTGGACAATTAAAACCATGGGGATCAAAGAAAAAGTAAATGAAAACCAAGAAATTAAATGCTAATACCTCTCGGTCTAGACCAAACGAACCCAATAGGATCCTCTCTGGATTCTCTTTGTGAGGATTTTGGGGATTCGTAAATCTTGTCTGTTCATCATACATCGTGCGATCAAATTTTGTCAGGTAATATTTATGTTCAATTTTAAATAAAAAAATTTAAAATAATTTCTAATTGCACGATATACCATAAATGGACACGATTCACGTATTTTAGGATCCTCATAAAAAGAGTTCGCAGATAATCCGGATTCCAAACGAACACCCTCTTTTCCTCTTTTCGCAAATCAGGCAGTGTTCTAGGACACTCTCAGATTTGTCCAAGAGAAATTGCATAGAAAAAGGGATGAAAACCAAAAAATCTTTTCCTCTTTGTAAAATTGACTAGGAAAAAATCAATACCAATGCTCTCCTAAAGTTCTTTTGAGAATCTGTGAGGTCTAAATGATATTAGCCACAAGATTATATTAATTTAAATCCAAAGGCTTGAAAGTGGAAAGTTTTAGGTACGATTTTTGTCAAAGACAAATTCGAACCACATTATTGCTAGCCGAATTCGAACCCCCCCGAGCGTGGGTGTCTAGCCTATGATAGCCATGATCTCCACCTTAGCCATCATCGATTTCGACAAGTCAGCTTACTCTCCTATAGCCAAATCCATTTTCATGGAACTTTTATTGATTGGTGCCATGTTTAGCCCTTCATCAATAAATAGATTTTGTTCCTCTTTGGTGGTGGTAGGACGAGTTTGTTTTGAAAATGGGATTTGATATAACTTTAAACTTTTTGCATAGTTTCCTCAAAAGTTTTGTAGCTTACATTCACCTTTTTTCAAAGGGTAGTGTTAGAGAGAGCAAATTTACAAACTAATCATCAATATTAAATAAGCACGTTAATTAACACTTGAGTAATAATCCAATCATCTGTTGAAATATCACACATTGACCATATCTATGAGAAAAGAAGAGTTTAAATATCCAAACCCCAATTCAACTAACACTGAGATCTGACGGATTGTGCAAATGGTAATTACCAAGTTAGGGACAATATCGGTGTTGTTGGAAGTTAGCCTTTGGCCCTAGTCTCTCTAATAATTCTACATCATCAACGTCCACATCATTTGGTATACAAAAGTTAGTTTAGAAATTTGATCTTCCTAGCATCATCATTTTGGAAATATTTGGCCATCTCGTCACCAAATTTGGTGCTTTCTACATGAAGTTTGGACAACTTCTCCTCTAGCTTGGCCTAGTCTCATTGTAGAGCCCTTCATCCGAATGATCATTAGTTGGCATTTCATAGATTGGCTCTATGTACTCATTGAAAGTATTTTGATACTGAAAGACATTTATTAGCGTATCAATTTATTAGATATAATTTAGGCAAATTAGAACTTTGCTTAGTCCAAGATGCATGCAAACAGACTGCAACGAAATACTATATCCATTTGATAATATTCCAACGAAGATGCAAGATATCATCTCGTTTGATTAGAGCACTTCCACCCATGGAGGGCAAGATCAATAGATTACCCAAAACCCACAAACCTTGCTCCAGCGGTCAATAGATTGCCCATAACCTTACTAGCTACCTAGTTAATTATACATGCACAAATTTTCATTGAACATACTAACACACAAATGACCTGCTCAGGCAGATATAATATGTGTTTCTTGCTATAACACACGATATATTTGATGGTTTTCCCATTTTTCAGGCAGTGAATCCTGCACATTTGTAAGTTTGTACAACTTGTTTTGGTCTCACCCATTATTCCAAGTTCGACTTTGCACATTCAAAGTCGCTGCATGTCGTATGGTTAATTTGACTAGTACTAACTTTCATCGGCTATTAATCAAAGATTGCATAAAACACTTATAAATGTGTTGAAAGTACTTTTTTTTATTATACCCGTCAAAGTACTTTTTTTTACCTTGTGAATGACTTTCGGGCTAAATGCTTTTACTACAACAGCTAAAAGTCTCTTGAAAGATTTGATACCATATTGATAGTGGTTGAACACAAGGTCCTGGAAGTAGATAGTCTAAGGGTTATTTTAAGTGAGAGTTGAAGTAGGGGCATAACTTCTAGATGATCATATACATCACAGGTGCACGTTTGACCGGACAATATATGTACACATGTGACAGTAGCATAGATATAGGAGTCAAACTTGTAAATAATTAGCCAAAATTACTCCACAATTTCCAGTTTATCCAATACAAATGACAGCATTCAAGTCTTAAGGCCATCTTTAGTGGGCGCTACAAAGTTTGCCCTTTGACTATTCTCCACTGTCCACTAATAGGAAGTTCACGTGGGCCCCCCAAAATGCTTTACCAACTAAATAAATTGTGTATTCAATTACGATTTTAAAGAATTTTATTTATTTATTTATTTATAAATTTTAATAGAGTTTAAATGATATTTAGAAATCTTATGTAAAATTTTGAGTTAATTTCGTCAAATTCTCAAGGGAGAAGTGAGATTTGAGAGTTTTAACATTTTGAACTTTTTAAAATCCTTTAAAATCAATTTATAATTGAATACACTTGGAATGTTAAAAACTCGCAAAAAAATTCTAATTAAATAGCTCTAGACTTTTAGAAAATCATTAAAAATGCTGATAGACTTTAAAAGAATCATTAAAAATGCTAATTGAACACCCTAAATTTATGAAAAGAATTAAAATCTCTCACAATCCCAATTAAATACTCTCCTAAGACATAACCTTTTATTGACTAAAATACAGCCTCCTTGCTTAAGACAACTCAACACATTTTCGTGCAAAACAAATGGCCTAATATATATTTTCTTTAATATGTTTGGTTCGTATAATTAGACCAACATGTAAAGTAAAATTCTGGCATTAAGTATCAATTAACATAGAACTCTTTTGATGATTGGCAATGATCATGAAAATTGAAAAGGCTACAACTTCCATACAACGACTGCTCTTTTAGTAACCTGTGTTTCTATATTACTATCAGATATAATCAATAAATTACAACAGTATAACTTACTCATGTGTAAGATTAATCTGATCCAATTTTCAACAGATCGAAAAAAATGAATCCTAATCATTACAGACGAACCCTCCGTTTGCAATCTTCTCGTTGAATCTCCCCGCTTGAAAAATTGTACCTCACGGTACAATTCAATTCAACCACTACATTTTTCTTGACCATGACGACTTTCACCTTACCCTGAATTCTCGTATAAGTCGTCATGGTCAGTTCCCCTGAAGCCACCTCCCTCATGAGCCCCGGTACGCCCAAGATCTTCCGGGGAACAATATCTACCGTAACATTCATCCTCGACGTCCGCCTCGCCTTTGCCACTCCCGCTGGAGTCCTCCCTTCGCCGACCTCCGTCCCGCTGTAGTAAACCAAAGTGGTGGCATTGCTATACTTGAAAGATGCCACGTTAGGATTTTTGACGGAGACATCCGCTAGGAGTGTTATGTTAGTATCCGACCGTAGGGTTCCATTGGCAAGCTCCAGCCGTTGGACTGTGACCTCGTTCATCTTGATCTTCGGATCCTTTACATGAAACACGGTGAATCCGAGGACTATGGCTGTTACAGCTATGATTAAGAACACGGCAGAGACACAGCCGCAACAGTGCACGTATTTTCTTTGCCGGAGCTTTATGTGCAAAGAGGCGACTTCCTCTTCATCACTGCGGAGATAGTGTGAGTTGGCTGGGGCAAAAGGCTTGACTTGTTCTTTAGGAGAAGCCATGGTGATGAAATTAACAGATGCAAAAGTGGTGGCCGGAGATATATAATTGGTAATGGGAAAGGTTGATGAGTTTCATGGAAACTTTGATTGTCTTCTTGTTGGTGTCGTTGATGGTGAAGTGTCGGAAAATTTTGGAGTCTTGGACGCGGTTGCCCTAGTTGTACGGCTTGACTTTTGACTATTGGTTTGTTTTTATTTTTGAAAGAATTGTGCTTCATTTTGAAATGGCTTGCAGAAGCTTCTCTGAATGACGAATCAATTGTGGTTCAAATGTCAATTCAAGGGATAATGCTAGGTGGAATTATCAAGTTAATTAATATTAAAATAATAATTTAATTATTACTTTTAAAATAATAATAATTTAATTATCGATATTTACATTATTTAGTTTATAAAATTTAGTCTATAAAATTAACATAATTTGTTTCAGAATAGATTTAATTTCTAACTAAATTTTGTAAACTAAATAAGATGAATATTAACGATTGAATTATTACTTAATTATTGATTAATGTATTTATTTTTTTATTGATAATATATTATTTAATTTACAAGTTTAATTTAAAATTTTATTTTCTCTAACATCATTCTTTGTTTAGTTGTAAAAAGAAAAAGCTTATATTTAGAATTTATGGGGTGAATGATGGTGACGGTCAAAAAGTCAGGCTTAAACATTTCGTAGAAAAGTAATCGGAATGCTTTGTGAATGAACAGAGTCAAAAGGGTGCAGTTATTGATGTGACAACGGGGCTTGGGTGGTTGACTGGAATTTACAAATGGAGAATGCTTGTGCTCCTTCCAATGAAGAATTTACTTTTTTTTTTTTCAATTTATGATTAATGTCTTTTTACTATACGCATATCACAATTAGAATCGTTGATTTTCTTTATCATTATTTAAGATCATAACTGTGGAGTAAAAAATAATCAATAAAATTATGAAGACGATATGTGTACTTTTGGGTGAAAAAGAATAATATTACCATCGAGGCACATCGGAATTTCTACGCGTAAGCAGCGGACAATCATGGCACAATCAAGGTCAAAAGTGATCAAAATAGGTATTTATTCAAAACCTATTTCATCAAATCCTCCCCCACAAGGTAACCTTCAATTATTCATTCAAAATATGATTAATTACCTAAATTAATTGATTAATTTCCTAATTGATTGCAAGATATTATTTTGACATAATATCTTGCAATTACACCAAAAAACCATCATATGTGGCTGGTTCCCATCTCTCCAAAAGGGGCCGGCCACACCCCTATAAATACCACATCATTTCTCCAAAAACCTAAGTCCAACTCTCTTGCTAAATTCTCCAAATTTTTCTAAACATTTTTCCCTCAAATTTTAACTTTGGCATCGGAGATTCTTCGGCCCCCATTCATCGTGGGCGCATGAGGCTCTTGGCCTTAACCTAAGGTGCTAATTGTTTTCTAGGTGCAATTTTGTCCAAGAAGAAAAATGCGGAAATTTGCATCCACAAATTGGTGCTTTCATTGAGAGTTTGATTCACACGAAGAAGACTTTCACATTCAAAGTTTCTCATTTCTTGTTCATTTGTAGATTTTTCGTATGTTCTTATTCTTAGAAATTTTTTTATAAAATTCTTTGAATAAACGTAAAAGAAAAGTGCGATGACTAGAAATTCAAAAACCAAGACGAACGGAACATCTTACGACGTAGTCCTGCCACGACGATCCATAAGGCTCAATACGATGGCAAGAAGAGCAACTTTTCCATCAAGGAGCACCACCACCATGGCAACCATGGGGACTACTGTGGCAGTGGGGAGTGGGCCAGCTTTATGGCAGCAAGCCCACGGAGAGCAGAGGGCAGCGAAGCAACTACCAGCCCAGGCCCACACCACTTTCCAGCAGCGAAGGCCCAAGCCTCGTCTACTTGGCATGTAGCTTAATCTGCAAGGCAGTCGAGCCAGGCCCAACGCGAACAGGCCTAAGCCACTACCCCAGCAGCGCAGGCCTAAGCCTCGTCTACTTGGCATATGGCCTAATCTGCAGCCCACACTGCAAGGCAGCCGAGCCAGGCTCAGTGCTAGCCGGCCCGAGCCACAACCTTAGCAGCGCAAGTCCAAGCAGCCGTGTCAGGAAAAGCAGCCTAGCGCTCATGGGCCCAAGGCCAACGCGAGCCCAGCGCGTTCCCGAGCAAAGCCCAAGCCCAGCTTTTACACACACCGCATGAAGGGCAATCCACACCATTACCCGACCTACTTCGGCGGTCCAATCCAAGGCCCAACCTATTCTTGTAGTCCACTAAGCAATCCCAATTGGTCCAAGACCAACTTAACCGTTCCGGCTTAAGATTTCTGGACCGACTATTGAACCGAGGGTATTTTCACCCCATTTCTCCTCTGATTTGACATCCCAACTCAAATCTCACGCCATAATTCATTACACTTCCACTACTCAAGGAAATGTATATCGTCCAAGCTCTTCCACCCTAAAATGGCGAACAACCCTTGTCTTGACAAGTCATAGAGTTGACAAGCGCCTTTACACAGCAGACTACCTTAGTGCATGAGCTCTTGCAGCAAGCCTTAGACGAGGTGTCATGAAGTAGGACAAGGGCAGACATCGAACTTCTGTAGCAGCGTCCCAGCAAGTATCCACTCGACCAATCACGCATTGAATGTTTTGGTAGTGTACACTACCAACTGAGCCCCCAAGATAGCGTATACTCTCGTCTTAGCGCATGGAGGAGCCTGCACTCTCGGTTAAGCCCACTGACGAGTATGCATTCAATGTTGGGGCCACACTCCTATAATCCACAATGACCAACCTTCCAGACGAAGTGTTCATTCGCGGCTAGGCTCGCAAAGAGCATTATTCACCTCACATCAGAGTACGTAACACAACAGACGGAAAGAAATAGTTACTTAATCCGACTTAAGTTCAACCGACAGTCTGCGAGTAATTCGCTCGCCTGTTAAGAAAGTACCACATGCACCACAGTAGCGACATAGACGAGTTAAGTGCATAGAAAAACAGCCTAGACCAACATGTCATGACCGGGGATAGCCGAGAGCTTTACCACCCCGACAAAGGCAAATTCAAGAAGAAGTATATAAGCTCAAGACCGAGTGATTGCATGATTTCCAACGCAACAAGGTCATTGTGAAGCACTACGAAGAGACTTGACCAACATAAGCGGGTCACCTTTCATTGACATAATCGGGCAGAGGAGTACCAGAATGACACACCAGCCCAATTACCAAGAACCGGGGGCAAGCCTTGTTCGTAACACTCCAGACGATTCAATAGTGAAGCAGCACATCACCAGTAACCGAGCATCACAGACCCAATGGTCCAAATTCTCTAGTTGCACACAACCTAGCCCAAGCCTGCCCCAACTCTACGTTCATAACTGTGCCTACCTACTTCACGTTTCTCGACAACCTTTGATCCGTCACTATGGCTCCTAACTGTGTCTACCTGTTTCACGGCTCCCGGCAACCATTGATCTATCACCATGGCTCCTAACTGTGCCGATCTTACACCACGGTTTCTAACCACGCCGATCTTGCCTTGTGGTTCATGTTGACCAAGCCCATGGCACTCCAAACTTCAAAACATCCAATGATAGAGTAGAGGACAAGGTTTTATTAGCAGCCTCTGCTAGCAAAAGACTTTGTAGTGAAGAAGCTTGCAATCCATTCAGATTCTCAGTTGATTACCAACCAAGCCTTAAAAAGGCATACGACGAAACGTCTAACGATGGCGCAATACTTGAAGAAAGTTCAGGAGCAACTTGATGAGCTTTCCACTTACACCTTTGTGCGGGTTCCACAAGCAATTTGAAGCGTCAAGCAGATCGCCAAACAAGAGCTCGTAGGTGGAGGATTATTTTAGTTGTCCAGTAATCCAGCTTTCCTCAGCTGCACTCATGACAACGACTTCCATGCTTTCCAATGCAAGAGGGTAAATCAATCCCCTGACACCCATCTGGGTAAGTTCTCTAGTGCAAAAGGGTAAACTAATTCCCTAACACCCATTTAGGTCTGTTCTCTAGTATGAAAGGATAAACTAGTTGGTCTCTAGTGCAAGAGGGTAAACCAATTCCACGACACTCATTTGGGTATGCTTTCCAGTGTGAGAGGTTAAACTAATTGCTTTCTAGTGCGAGAGGGTAAACCAATTCCCCGACACCCATATGGGTAAGCTCGTCAGTGCAAAAGGGTAAACTAATTGCTCTGTAGTGTGAGAAGGTAAATCAATTCTCTGACACCCATATGGGTCGGCTCTCTAGTGCGAGAGGTTAACCTATTGCTCACTAGTGCGAGAGGATAAACCAATTCCACGACACCCATATGGGTAAGCTCTCCAATGCGAGAGGGTAAACTAATTGCTCTCTAGTGCGAAAGGGTAAACTACTTGCTCTCCAATGCGAGATGGTAAACTAATTCCCTGACACCTATCTAGGTAAGCTCTCCAGTGCGAGAATGCCACATAGCTTAAAAGATCAAATGCTTGAAGATCAACTAGGCCGCGAATGGTCAAGGGGCAGCAACAACCTTACACTCAATAGTTCGCTCATCTGACACTTCATCTTCAGTAGCTTCGATCTTGGTAGCTCCATCTACGGCAGCTAAGAAATCAAACTCAAGCAGTTTCCTCATTTTTGGCATGCATCCCACACAAGGTAGCCCAAATTGTGTCCCATGCCACGCTACTTCCTCAACCCATGCCAGCCAGTCCTTGGCTTTGATCAAGCCGAGCAGCACAAGCAATGGCCCCTGCCACACCACCTCCTTGGCCTATGTTAAGCCGACTACTAGCCTTTGCCAGTCGACGGCACCACCCTGACGGCTGCCCCGCGGCAGCACCACCCAAGAAGAAGACAAAGATAATTAAGGTTTTTTTACATTGGTGCCGTGCAGAAATAAGCAAAGAAGAGTGCTAGGGAAGGGGGAACAAATATTCTTTAGTTTTCTTTTTTCTTATAAGGATAAATAATTACCCTCTGAAGTTGATTTAATCCCTTACTTAAAGTAGGCTTAAATAGGCTTTGAAGGTGATTTATTTCCCTTTCCTAGAAGAATCTAATTCCAAGTCCAAGTGAGAATCTGCATCAAAGTTGGAGATCTCTACACCTGCTGCCCTTTCCTGTGAGCAGCCCAGCAGGTATGGGGGCATTTGTGGAGTAAAAAATAATTAAGAAAATTATGGAGGCGACACATGTACCTTTGGGCGCGCAGGCAGTGGACAATATGGCACAATCAAGGTCAAAAGTGATCAATAGGTATTTATTCAAAACCTATTTCATCAAATCCTCCCCACAAGGTAACCTTCAATTATTTATTTAAAATATGATTAATTACCTAAATTAATTGATTAATTTTCTAATTAATTTACTAATTGATTGCACGATATTATTTTGACATAATATCTTGCAATTACACCTAAAAAGCACCCTATGTGTCTGGTTCCCATCTCTCCAAAGGGGGCCGGCCACACCCCTATAAATACCACCTCATTTCTCCAAAAGCCTAAGTCGAACTCTCTTGCTAAATTCTCCAAATTTCTCTAAACACTTTTCCCTCAAATTCTAACTTCAGTATTGGAGGTTCTTCGGCCAAAGCCCCCCTAAATTCATCATGGGCGTGTGAGGCTCTTGGCCTTAACCTAAGGTGTTAATTGTTTTGTAGGTGCAATTTTGTCCAAGAAGAATAAGGCGGAAATTTACATCACCAATAACTATAAAAACTCATTCAATTTGAAGATCGTTTAGTCATTCATATGCATCAAACAAATGAACGGTTCATCATGAGGATGCTACTTGTTGCCAAAATTATCCATTTGTTTGATGCATATGAATGGCTAAACGATCTCCAAATTGATATGATTTGAAATATGATATTTAGATGATGATAAAGAAAACGTTCCGATTATTATATATGTTTGTACAGTGAAGAGATAGTAATCTTAAGTGGAGGGACAAGTAGGTTCCCTATCTAAAAAACACAAGCATTGTCCTTTACATTATAGGTGATATTTAAGTTTCGTTCACAATTTGGAAAGTTGGAATTGACATAGGAGCAGAATTTTGTTTGGGCAAGAAACTAGAGTTCGTAGCAATTGTACTCGTTGGGCAAAAGCAAGGGTAGTTACTATTTACATTGAAATGTAATTGTCATTGTACAATTTCATCCATTGGGCAAAGGTAAAGCAAGATTACTATTAAATTTTTTTTTAAAATTGTTTAAATAATCTTTGTCAACGTTATTTACCAGAATGTCAAATAAAACGTGAAATTGCAAAATTTTTATTTTTATTTTTAAAAATGTGTTTTTCAATTTGGATTAATTTTCTCATTTTAAAACCATTTTTATGAATTTGTTTTAATAAATTTTAAAATTCAGAATTAATTTAGGTCGTTGAATACAAATGAATTTGTTCTAATAAATGTTCATGAGGTGTGGATTTTAGTGTTAGACCACCAAGGCACCCCGGGACAGCTTCTGTTGTTGTTAGGCCATCTTCAACTGATCCGGTCAGAGGGCCACAAAGGCCAGAGGGCCAAAAATAGCCCAAAATGACACGAAAATCGTCTCCAACCGAGAGTCAAACCAAAGGGCTCGTGGGCCCCATCGAGCCAAAAAAAGGAGAAAAAGGCCAACCGGCTGGCCCAACCTAGCCAGCTAGCCAACCCTGAGTGTTTGAATGGAACGACTAGCTGTTGACGTCCCGTTATATTTGAATTTTGTTTCAATTTTTTTTTTCTGTAACTTCCTAAGCCATTAAACAACATTAAATGACATTAAGTAACATGAAACAACAGTAAACAATATTAAACAACATTAAATAACCTTAAGTAACATTAAACAACATAAAAATTATACAATATTAAAAAAAAAACATTTAACAACATCAAACTTAAACAACATTTTTTAAAACATTTAAGAACATAAAATTGAAACACCTACCCCATGCTTCTTTTGGCCTAAAGATGTGTAACAAGATCCTGTTGTAGGTATTTATTTATGGCATGAGAACATATCATCCTATGGCGCCCCACATACTCATTCAAGATATTACTAGTTATAGGATTCAAAGGCAAATTAGGCTCATCATATATTTTTGTGCGAGCCTTTCTTGACCTATTTGGATCCTCTTAGTCGTCATTAGACTCTCCATCAATATACCCATCTCACTCATCTTCCACAATCATGTTGTGTAATATGATGTCATGTTGTGTAATATGATGTAAGACATCATGATGGGGTCCAACTTTCTCGACTCCACCCTCTTACTGGTTCCTTATTGATCTTCCACCGTGCTTGTAGAATACCGAAAGCTCTCTCAACATACTTCCTGTATGCCTCTTGGTGTAAGGTAAACCACTTTTTGGCTTCATTCGCAGGGTTTGCAATTTCTTGGACAAGTGTCGCCCACTTTAGGTAGATGTGATCTGCCAAGTAATACCCCATGTTGTATTAACGCCCATTGACGTAGCAGTTAAGTTGAGGTGATTTACCCTCCGTCAGGTTATTGAAGAGGGGTGAATGACCAAAAATTGTAATATCATTTTGGGATCCTAGGACTCCAAAGAAAGCATGCCAGATCTATGTGTCAAATGACTCAACTGCCTCTAACACAACTGTTGGCTTTCTCGATCTTCCGCTAAAGCCTCTTTGCCATCCGGTGGGACAGTTATTCCACTGCCAATGCATGCAATCTAGTGACCCTATCATGCCCGTAAAGCCATGATCTTCAGCTTTGCGAATGAGCCGCTCTAAATCTGCTTGATTTAGTTGACGGAGGTATTTCTCTTTGTAAAGCTGAACAACTGTTTCACAGAATTCAACAAGAGTATCAAGGCATGTAGACTCAGACATACCATATGTATCATCCATAACATCAGCTGGGGAGGCATAAGCCAGCATTCGGAGTGCAATAGTACCCTTCTGATGTGGTGAGAAACCAGGGTGGCCTGCTCTGTCAAATTTTAGTCAAAAGTATGGATTGACATATTGGACATCATGAAGTACACGCTGGAAGACATGACACCTCATCCAGAAGTAGCGTTTGAAATCCTTGTCGTTGTGCGCTTCATCTTCTTAATCGAACTACTCATCTTCTCGCCTCATCTGCGCCCATTTATCTTCCAATTCTGAATTGGAAAATGACCCCTAGTTGGAACCCAAAGAGGATCTAAAGTTGGAATTCATTGCAAATTTGAATTGAAAAAGATTGAATTGAAAGAAATATTAGAGAGGGCAAAGCTGAAGGTGTGCGAATTATAGGCCAATATCCACCCTATTTATGGACATTGGAAGCAGATAAAATCCTATGAAAAAATCCCACAACCAATTACATCTCAATACGTGGCACTCGAAATCCTATCCGTAAAATTATTGAGATTACATAGCGACAAGAAATCTAGGGAGTTACTCACAGATCGATACGTAGCACTCAAAATCCGAGATGTAAAATTATTGAGATTTTTTTTCGACAAGAAATCAGGGGAGTTACTCACAGATCGACACGTGGCACTCGAAATCCAAGACATAAAATTATTGAGATTCTTTATCGACAAGAAATTTGCAAAATTACTCACACATCGACACGTGCCACTCGAAATCCGAGACATAAAATTATTAAGATTTCATCTCGAAAAATTATTGGCAATCCATAACGTAAAATTATTGAGGTAGTTTAGTTTAAGTAACCATATTAATTCAATTAAAATAATAAATTATGTTTGGCCCTATGACCCTTTGGCCCTTCGGTTGGAGATGGTTTTTTTGTCACAGGGCCTATGACCCTCTAGCCCCTCGGTTGGAGATGGTAAGAAATATGACCTTGCACTGTTCATTAAAATATTAATTTCTTGGGGGGCTATAAGGCTAAAACGAGCCCTTTGATCCTCTTTCGGTTGGAGATGGTCTTAGCTTACTCTTCCTCTTTGCGCATGAATTGCACGCTCTAGACATAGAAAAAAAAAAGGAAAAGAAGAATGCGATATATGTCAAGCCAAGCCAGCAGACACCCATGCAGGCAAAAATTAAACGGGCTTTAGGTCGGGCTTCGTGTGCGCCATCACTTGCCTTCCTTCTTTTGGACTACTAAGGGCATTTCTATTCTCTTTTGAATGATTGAGAAACCATTGCCCTTGCCTAAAGGTAATGGGTGCCATTGCTCTTATTGAAAAAGTCTTTTATCTTTATTATGGTTGTGTTGGTATGGTATGGCAAGCCATTTAAATGCACTCATCAGTGCTATTCCTCTTTTTTCTCTTTTGATATACACAAAGGTAAAGTCTTTGTAAATGTAATATAAGAAGCAACAATGATTTTTGTCAAGTTCAAGTTTCAAAGATGATCAAGTGATCCACTACTAATCAACATCGATATTGTCTCTAATTAATTTCATGTACAAATTCAATTCGATATTGTCTCTAATTAATTTCATACACAAATTCAATAAGTGTGATTTTATCACAAAATATTACCTTGATACAACTAATAGTAAAAGCATTTAATACAGGGACGTATATATGTTTTAACATGACCCCAAGTGGAACCCATCTTTAGTGGCCACAAATGGAGGCAATTCCATGTTAGTAACCCTTCTTTTATTTAGGTTTTAGGGATTTGATTCATATGTCCCAACTCGAGATTTTAGGGTTTTTAGTTCAGGGACAATACAATGGTCTATTACTAATAATCATCAATATTGTTTCTGACTTAAATTAGTTGTACGAATCTAACAGGTGTGAGGTTTTATCACATAAAATTTCAATACAATTAGTAGTGGAACCATTCAATGCAAGAAAAATTTCACTTCATGAGTTTCTCAATGTGGGATAACACACCCCTTCATGCGGGATCCATATTTAAGAGGCTGCACTCAGGGCAACTCCACGCCAGTTACCATTTTTTATTTGGGTTTTAGAGATTTAATTTGGGTGCTCCTACTCGAGACTTTAATGTTTTCAATAAATGGTACCCATTCGAGTTTACTCGAGTATAAAGGATTGGCCTCTTTCGATAGGGGTGGGAAATTTTGCCATAAACTGATTTATCCATTGAACTATACCGGTCAGTTCATAATGGTATGGTATAATTTTAGGTATTTTTTAAATGCTTCACTCCTCATTTTTAGGGTTTACAAAATAAAGGAATTTTCAGGTTTTTTTTTTTCTTCCTTACTCTTGCATGACTTTTAGCAGCCTTGATCTCTCAATATTTTTTTTTTTGAATGCACACCTCCCTGTAATCATTTTATTTAGAAACTAGCTAAGCTTGCCATTTGCAACTGTTGAAACTTTGTGTTTATTTTAAAACCCTAGTTATCATTTTATTCCGAAACTAGCTCTCCTATTGTTATGGTTGACCACTTGTATTTTATCAAACAGATTTTGGTTTTGAAGATAAAGGAAAAGACCTAGTCTTCCTCAACTAGGTGATCATTTCTAGATTTTTTGGCCTGATTCTTAGGCCACCTTTCCCTCAACCTGTTCAACGTTAAACTTTGGTTTTTCTATATAAATTTGAGGACTTTTCTTTAGTCGAGAGATAAGAAAAAAACCTAGCTAATAACACTGAGTATTTTGAGCAACTAGAGGGTGAGTGTTTTCGGACCTTCCTCGGTGCAAAGGAAGGTCTAGATAGAGGGATTATGGGCTATTTTATCCTGGAGACAACGTGGTGTTATTCGAACTGCTTGCACACATTGGGTAGAGCCGCGAAACGTTTTAAAGAAAGTGACATTGTCCGTGACTTAACCTAAGACAAATTTTCATTTTACGTTCTTCATTCTCTGGTAATATTGTTCCTATTTTTATCGTGCAGTAACTCTAACAATTTTAAGACATTCAATTTCTGCAATGGAGAATGAAAACAACGCTTTCATTAATGATCTAAACAAACCTATCAAGTTTGAATTACTCAACTTCAAACGTTGGAGGCAAAATATGTTATTTTTCCTAACCACCAAGAAACTTGCCACCCACTGCACGTCTGAAATGCTATCACTTCCTAATCAACCCACTACTGACCAGTTCAAATTGTTTCAATCCTATATTGACAATGACTTTTTCTGCAAAAATTATGTCTTGAATGGATTAGGTGATGACCTATATGATTACTACTCTTCTTGTAAGATAGCTAAAGAACTACGGGATGCTCTCCAGAAGAAGTACGACATTGAAGAAGCAGGGGCAAAGAAATTTGCAGTCAACTGCTACATGAAGTTTCAAATGATGGATAACAAATCAGTGGAAGTGCAATCACACGAATTGCAGAAGATTGCTCATGAGATCATCACTGAGGGCATGAATTTGGATGAATAATTCCAGGTTGTTGTGATCATAGATAAGCTCCCACCAAGTTGGAAGGAGTTCAAGAAGGATTTGAGGCACAAGACAAAAGAATTCTCACTGGAAAGCCTAATCACTCGCCTTCGAATCGAGGAAGAAGCCAGGAAACAAGATATGAGGGAGGAAGTGCTGGTTGTTTCAAACAATAACAATCTTAAGAAGACTCATTCGAGGACTTATGCAGCAGTAATGCTTAAACCCACGGGTAAGAATATGAAGAATTCCACCAAGAATCGCAACAACAACAAAAACCCTCCAAACTTCTAGAATCCTTAGCGAAGTCAGAATATGAAGGTGCCCCACTCACAAGATGAAGCTGCTGATTTTTGTGCTACAACTATGACAATCCTGGGCACTTGGCTATGAACTGTCACAACAAACGTTGGATTACTCCTCAAGCTAATCTGATTGAGGATCAACTCATTGCTATAATATTAGAGGTCAATATAGTTGATGGATCTGAGGGGTAGTGGGTAGACACTGGAGCTTCACGCCATGTTTGCCATGATCACAGACTTTTCAAGTCCTATTTTGAAGCTGAGGATAGAAGGGTTTTGTTGGGTGACTCTCACTCAACGAATGTTGTTGGAATTGTTGAAGTAGAGCTAAAATTCACCTCGGGGAAGACTGTCATTTTGAAAGATGTACTGCATGTTCCAAAAATAAGGAAGAACCAGGTTTCAGGTTATCTAATCAACAACGCTGCATTCACTCAAACTATTGAGGCTGATCTGTATACTTTCACAAAGAATGGTGTTTTTGTGGGAAAGGGGTATGCCACTGATGGGATGTTCAAATTGAATGTTGATGCGATGAATAAAATTGTTTCTTTTGCTTACATGTTGTGTTCATTTAATGTTTGGCATGCAAGACTTTGTCACGTAAACAAAAGGCTAGTAAAACAAATGAGTAACTTAGGTTTACTACCAGAACTTTCACTTAATAATTTTGAGAAATGTGAGTTTTGTAGTCAAGCTAAGATAACTAAAGCTCTACATAGGTCAATTCTTAGAGAGACTGAATTACTAGACGTGATACATTCTGATATTTGTGAATGTGATGGTGTAGTAACTCAAAATGGAAAACGGTACTTCATAACTTTCATAGATGATCATTCAAACTACTGTTTTATCTACCTAATGAAACATAAAAGTGAAGCCCTAGACATGTTTAAATGTTTCATAAGTGAAGTAGAAAACCAGTTCAACTGAAAAATTAAAAAGTTGCGAAGTGATAGAGGACAAGAGTATGAATCTGGACCTTTCACTGAATTTTGTAAGAAACTAGGAATTACACATGAAGCCACTGCTCCTTATTCCCTAGAAATGAACGACAAAGCTGAGAGAAAAAATAGAACACTTAGTGAACTAACTGTGGCTATTTTACTTAACTCGGGGAATGCTTCATATTGGTGGGGTGAAATACTTTTAACTGTTTGTTATGTACTCAATAGGGTTCCCTTTTTGAAAACCGAAATTCCACCTTATGAAATCTGGAAAAATAAGAAACCAAATGTTTCTTACTTGAGAACTTGGGGATGTTTGGCCTACGTAAGAAAACCTGACCCTAAAAGATCAACGCTAGCTAGTAGAGCTTTTGAATGTGTGTTCATTGGTTATGCATACAATAGCAAAGCATGTAGGTTTTATGATTTGAAAAACCATGTTGTTGTTGAATCTAATGATGCTAATTTCTTAGAAGATAAGTTTCCTTTCAAGTTAAGAAATAGTAAGGGCTCTAGTACTGTTTATGGATGCACCTATAGTTAATGGAAATGCTATAATGGATTTGGCCAAAAATGATCTTGAGCCAAGGAAAAGTAAGAGAATCAAAGTAGCCAAGGACTTTGGTTCAGACTTTCAGGCTTATACTTTGGAAGAAGATCCAAGAACTCTTCAAAAAGCATTAACCTTATTGGATGCAGACTTATGGCAAGAAGCCATAAATGATGAAATAGATTCTCTCGAATCCAATAAGACTTGGCACCTAGTAGATCTTCCACTAGGGTGCAAGGCTATTAATTGCAAATGGGTACTAAAAAGAAAGCTAAACCCCAATGGTACAGTGGAGAAGTTTAAAGCCAGGTTAGTAGCTAAAGGTTTTAGACAAAGAGAAAATGTTGATTTCTTTGACACTTATTCACCAGTCACCAAAATAACTTCAATTCGAGTTTTGTTTGCTTTAGTTGCCATTAATGATCTTGTTGTGCATCAAATGGATGTTAAAACTGCTTTTTTAAATGGTGACTTAGAAGAAGAGATATATATGGAACAACCTGAAGGTTTTGTAATACCTAAACAAGAACATAAAGTATGTAAGTTAGACAAGTCTCTTTATGGTTTAAAATAAGCACCAAAGCAATGGCATGCTAAGTGTGATGGGTTACTTATCTCTAAAGGTTTTGAAATTAATGAAAGTGATAAATGTATCTATTAAAGGTCTAAAAATAATCTGTGCACATTGATATGTCTGTATATTGATGATTTGTTGATATTTGGATCCAATTTGCATGTTGTGAATGAAGTTAAAACTATGCTTTGTGATAACTTTGATATGAAAGACTTAGGTGAGGCAAATGTTATCCTTGGGATCAAGATTACTAAATCTATGAAAGGTTTCTCTTTAGACGAATCTCACTATATTGAGAAGGTTCTAAAGAAGTACAACTACTTTGATTGTAAACTAGCATGCACTTCCTATGACTTTAGTGTGAAATTGTTCAAGAACACTGGCAACAGTGTTAAACAACCTGAGTATGCGAGCATTATTGGTAGCCTTCGTTATGCTACTGATTACACTAAACCAGACATAGCCTA